AGCTCAGAACACTAGGACTGACTTTCTACAGAATATGCATTTGCACCAGGCTGAGGCCACACATTTGATTAAATACCTGGTATATGACGAAATTTTTCCAGACTTCATTGTGGTTTATGTGAATTTACATATTCAGACCCTATCCCTCCACAGTATGCAAAATTTCTATTAGCCTTCTTCACAGACAGCACTTTTCATAAAGAGCATAAGCAAGCTACCACGTCCTGGACAAAGAGGAGCAGATGTGTTTTAATAGAAATCACAGTGGTTTTTTTGGTGGCCATGGCAAAATGCAGATAGACGTTCCTTTTAGAAGAGAAAGGACTGAACAGAGCTTTCGGCAACCTCTCCTTGATCAGCATTCTCTGGGCTCTAGCCAACCAACCTGGCAAGCAAAAGCACTGCAATAAGAAAACACAAAATTTAAAAAAAAAAAAAAAAAGTGCAAGCTTTGCAATTTAGCATGGAGAAAGTTGATTGTCGGAATGAGTGTGAGTCAGTAAAGAGAGTGGGAAGAAGGACTGACCTCTAGTCAATTTAGACATTTAAGTACAGAATTGTATAGAGTCCTTTTTCAGATAGGGAAAGTAAAGCAGGCACCACCCAAGGGTGAGTCACCTCCAGTACCTTAAGATACCTTAGCACAGCCATCAAGACAAAGACTGGAATTACTGCAGAGAAGGCCGCATCTAGAGATGGCAGATTTGGAGAACGTTCAAGGACTCGATATGTTACATTAGCTGTTTTATATTCATACAGATGAGAGAAATCTACAACGACTGTGCAACAAGGGCCAAGGAAAAAGTTACTTGCAGAACTGTAACAAGACGAATTGGAAGCAAATCAATACACACGGGTTAGGATACAAAGTCAAGAAGCTGTGATAACCTATGCTTGCAGGAGGAATGTAAGCCATCTTAAATCATGGCCATCCAAACAACTCAAAACCCAAGTAATGTCAAAGCGGATGACCATATCCATTTGTGTTTACTTCCTGAATAGCAAAGACTAGTGATAGAAAACATCTGAATTCCACATTTTAACAGGGTGTTAAATCTTAGAGCAAATCACCAAAGGTAGATAAAGGGCATTAGCCCTCATTAGTAGATAGAGAAATTATGGAAGCAAAAGGTTATGTGATTTGTACAGCATTGCACAGGAAGACAGCAGCAGGGCCAAAGAACAGTCAGCATCCTGTCCTCCAAACTACAACAGCAGGTGCAAAGTCCAAAGCATCTAGTGTCTTCAGCAAAATGCATAATCAACACTTCACACAAATTACATTAATATAGGCATGCAATTGTTTTTCTTCTGTGTGCCTGTGCTGTAATATTTAACTAGAAAGCAAACAACGCCGAGAATGATCTATTAATTTCATGATTGGAGACTCTACCTGTCCTTTACCCTTCCTTCTGCAAAACCAACTTTTATCCATCAGCCCATGTGATGCAAGTCTGCTCTGAAGGAAGGAGTATTAAGCCACCAGAAATATTGCACATGCACATATGCACTGCATTTAAATAGCACTGAACTAAAATGAAAATTTCAAATTTCTGTAGGGCTGCATGTTAACTCACATCCTATCATGGTCCAGCAGGAACATACAACATACTTAGTGCTCCCCCTTACTACACTAAGGAGTCTTTTGAGCCTGCCTGTCTCCATCATGCTTTATAAAAGGCAAAGTAAGTGCTCAATTGCAAGTTAGAGGCTTTCTACAAACTTATGTAGTTATAAGAGCTTGGTATATTTTCACCAAGGACTAAATGGCACATCCTTAGAACAGAGGAAAAAGTTAAGCAAGCAGCAAAAACCAAGCCTGTCAATGTTAAATCCACAACACTGACCACAAATACACCAAACTAATTCCTAGCAAGCCTTTCAGTGACGATGCTGGCAGCAGAGACCGGTGATGATGCTTCAGTGAACAGTGTGCCAGCAGATCTGTGTCCTGAACTAAAGGCTCTGTTGATTTCGGTTGTCTTTAGATGAGAACCTTGTAATTCACCAGGAACATTCTGCCATGGAAAGAGATCCCCAGCTTCTGACACGCTCTTCATCAACTCATTTGGTGGAGCTGACGTTAAGCCAGTCCTTACTGGCTCGTAATTAACTGGCAGAGTTCAACCCACAACAGGGACTTCCCAGCAGTTTAGAAAGTAGCCAGTATCTCTAAAATTTGACAAGGAAGTACTTGATTTTCTCTGTGCCCACTGCTGTTGCAGCAGCCTCCCAGCCCCTCAGTCTCACAATAGTCTCTTTGCAAGATGTCCAGCCGCAAGGCAGAGAAAACAGCTCATAAACTGAAAATGGTTTTACAATCCCCAGAACTGAGCTGATGTGCAGGTAAATTACAAAGGGAAAATTATTCTCCTTCCCTGCACTACCGGCTCATCAAATCCTCTCCTTCTCCTTCCCATTAAAAAAGGCTGTTAAAAGAACTCCTCCTCATAGCTGACATTTTGCAAATCTCTATTCCTTGCTGCAAAGATCATCCGTGTGAAAACCAAGTATCTTTAAACAAAATGCCCTTTTTGCTTATTCTTCATCCACTGAAGGACTGAGAATCCTTTTGCTTTCCGAAAGGAAGATGATGAACTCATCAGAACTAAAAATCTGTGTTGGTGCAAAAAGACTAGAAGAAAAAACACTGACAAATCAGTATGATCTGTAACTGCTTCAGGGGTATGCTCTTCAAAGCTTCACTTACTGTAACATCATCTCTTTAAACCATTAGCTCTTTTTAATTTCCTTCATTTAAATCCCCCCTCATGATTTAGCTTCCCTGAAAAAAGCCTCTCATTTTCAGGAGCTCTCCAATTGCTCTCCTATTCATGCTTTGTACAATCTCAAAATTAAGATATCTGTAACAGAAAAGACAATTCACTGAAATTTCAAAATAACTAAATCTGCATTACTCAAAACTGTATTCACTCAAAACTAAGAAGTTCAACTACATGAGCTCTCCTTCCTGGCTTCTCCAAGTCTTCTTGCTACACTTTTATTGCTTTGTGGTTTGTTTTTTTTTAAATTCTCATTTATTCTCTCCTATTCAAACATAAACATTTCTTTTCACTTAGTTATGGGGAAATTATGGTACGCTTCCTCCAGTAATTCTCTCCTGCCTTTTTTCCATACACCTACTCTTCTGAATGGATGATCTGTCCATTTAAGAGAACTCTTGTGTCTAGACAACAAAGTTCATAGTCTTATTAACATCTGTCTAAATGGAACACATCTGGGTCTTCTAAAATACTGATGATAGCATGGGTGTTTACAACATTTTACAAAATAGAGTAAAATGCTGCTAGAATAATGACTATGCAGATAAACAATCTGACCTGGTTTTGCACAGAGAATAAAAGACCAAGCAAACATCTTTGTCCTCATGATCATCTTACAACAAAAAGTACATCAGGACATTCATATATGTATGACATACATTTTAAACGGCATTACAATTCACCTGTCCAGATTATTAGGCAGAGAACACCGATTAAGCCCTATCGCTATTGCATAAACAGGTGTTTCCCAAGAGGCTTCATGGGCATATTCTGCATTTGTTTTGCATACAAGGTAGGAGCAGAACACAAAACAAGTTGTGACTGTCTAAGAATCAGGACAAATGGTATGAACAAAGACAAGGGCATTTCTGTTTCTTAGACAATTATAATTTAGTAGTGTGACTGGATGCAATCACAGGATGAGGAGCATCTTCTAGGGTTTCTTTCTTGACCATGGGATAATGCCTACAGCACTGGCCATAATGCAAAGCAGAGCAGTGCAAAGCTGTACCCAGGAACACACTTCACCACAGCTTATTTGCTGCTGCAGCCTCTGTTCATGAGTAGGTAACTTTTTAGGAAACACAGACTTTCCACTGGCTGCGTCAGCAGCGCACTGGTCATGACAGAGGAGTAAGAGTGGCTGAATTCAGGAAGATTTTTATTCTGATCAGCAGCACTGAGGCCTTTAGTACAACAGCAATTTATTTACTCTTCTCCAAACTCCGGAACATAATGCATAGCGGAAAAGGAGATCAACACTCAGACTTTGAGAGATCTAAATTTTACTAATATGCACAAATTTTGAGCACAAGATGGCCTGACAGTTCACATACTGGAATTGCCAGCTGTCATGGCAGACTCTGCTTCCTCTTCTGCTTAGGTACCACATAGAAAGATTAACAGCAGTTGTCCATATTCTCTACGCTGCGACTTTTGGCAACATGAAATTATCCAAGAGAGGATGCTGCCAGGACCTAGAGCACCACACAGTCCAATAAACAGGCAATCAACTGCTCACTCTCACACACATTTTGTAACAAGCTCGTAAACCTGAAAAGATCAGAAAAGCAGTAATCTATCTGCCGCTTCATGCCTCTCCCCCAAGTCCACTAAGAGATTCCCTGAAAGCTTAGGAACGCTCACAATATTCCAAGTCACTGTGCTGAATTAGCACAAACATTATACTCTGAAGCACTGAAATAATGAAACACAAGATTCTTGTCACCACTCTGCCAACGCAGATCGTCTATGACCTGCAATAACCTGAGTATTCTAGTTCTGTGCACATTATGGGCAGGACTCCTGGATCATCCAGGCTAGGCAATTTTGCATATGCAGATACACACGGTCACATTCATTCTGACCAAATGAGGCCTCTTAAAACATCGTTTTCAACACCAGAGTTCATGCTAAATGATTCCCACTGGCAAAAATAAACAATTGCTGGACATTCTTTCCTCATAACTTAGTAAGCTTTGTGTTTTTAAAAACAGGTAGGGTGGAGACGGAGAAGGCAGAACAGTCTTAAGGATTACAAACTCTTAAATTCCATACAAAAGGCAGCAGTTAGAAACTGGAGCAAGTCAATTCTTAACTAGTTTTCCTCACTGTGACTCTCATAACATTTTATTCCCTAATTGTGAACTACACCATTTTTAAGTCAAAGCAGCACCTCTTTCAGCACAAACAGCCAAATAACTGTTACTGACATACCTTTCCAGAATCAACTAGTTCTGCTATTTCATCCAAACTTGGGCCACTTGGCACAAAAAATGCCCACCGATAATGGACTCCTTTAAAGAGATGCTGCAAGAAAGATCACAAATATATTTAAAAAATCATGAGAGCAAACTGAAATGGGAACTACAATTGATGACAGAAGCACTAGAGAAGTAACTTAAGGAAAAGACATGGAAATTATATGCTAGTGTCCGAAAAAAATGTCACCTAAGCATGTGGATTAAATGTACAGACAGGGATGTTGTATTACCACAATAGGATCAGGGTGAATTTTGTGTCCAATTGCACAAGTCAGCTAGTTGAGAAAAACAACCACCTTGTCTCTGCAGCTAGAAACAGCATTATTTGTTACGTAACAGAGAAACGGTGCTATATGTTTATACACATTCACAAAGGGGGTGAAATAAACCCAGCGATGTGACATTTAGAACCTTCCACCTCAGTGTCAGTGATTAAATTTTCCACCATCACATCTGCCAAAGTCATCACCGTCCAATGACGGATGGCAGCTCACATGAAAAGCATTTTGGGAAGATCTCACGAGCACAGGTCAAGAGCACCTCCTCTGAGTAAGTCACAATAGGAATAAGAGGGCCAGATGATTTTTAATACATGGCATACAACGCTCCTCATCACGGAAACATGCACACTGAGAAAAAAATACTGCATGATTTCTTCCTAGCCTTTTCATCTTGTTTTTGAGCTTTCCTTTGAAAGTATCGGTGCAGGACTTCGAATCTCATTCAACCATGCCATCATAGGAATACCATGGCAACTGCTTGAAAAGCATTCATTTGGAGAGCAAATACACATGTTGAGGGAAGAAAGAGAAAAGTTCTAAAAAGCCTCACTGATCTAGCCACTGGCTGAACGTTTTAAGACCCACTTACGAAAACTAGAAAAATCAGTATCACCATCCAGACACACGAACATGAAAGAGATGAAAGGCTTTCTAGCCACCCTCAACCACTTTTATTACTCTCTGGTGCTGGAATAGGATGAAGAGAATCAGTCATGGAACAATGTTTTGAGAGAAAGCCTGACCAGCCTAAAGCAAGTAGCAAAATTACCCTCACTTCAATGAGGCAGGGATTTGCTCTGTTTACTATGAAACACTAGCTGTCAGCAGGACTCGCTAGGGAGGCCATATGGAAAAGGCCACAATGAAAAGCACAGTAAGGCATCAAAACTTCAAAGCACCTCAAACTACCACATACACCAATCAGCACCACCCCAACACATTTTTTTTCAGTGCGAGAAAGAAGGAAAGAATAAAAATGCATCTGAAGTATACTTAATGATATATGAGGAAAATAAGACAGATGAGCCACATGACTAGCATCCAAGCCACAAAGCAAGCCACTAGAGTACTACGTAATATTGAAGTATATAGGATTCTGTCAAATACCTTTACAGTTTTGGAACCAACGGTGACTCCTGTTTGTAACATGCCATCAGCCACTCCAAGTTTGTCCATATTGATCAAGAAAGGTGTCACTAAGGTAACGTATGTTGCTCCTGACCATTTCTTCAGGAGATCTAGAGCCCACTTCTCAGTGGATCCACCAACATTATCTAGGATGAAATCAAATCTGCAGACATGTAAAGAACAGGTTTACAATCATGATACGGGGAATATAATTTTGTCATAATTAAGCCAATTCACATCAGAAATTGGCCGTAGTTTACATTTTTACGTATCACTGCAATGCATTAAAACAACTGCCTGCACAACAGTAGCGAGAAAGTCCCCCGACTTCAGCTAAATCCCAGCTTTACTGTCCAACGGGAGTTAAATTTACAGGTTATTGCCCATTCACTGCACAGCAGACACAGGCTATCTAGATAACTTAAACGGCTCTTAAACTCCAAAAAGTAGACTCTTAGATGCACAACTACATTCTCTATTTGCCTAAAGCCTTCTAGAGCTCTATCCCTTCAGCCCTCCCGCTGAGACTACTGGAACAGTCTCGAGGTCTGGTCCTAGCATTGAACAATATGCTATGTGCATGTAAAAACTAGTCTGGACTCACGCCCTGACTAGGAACATCTGTATATGCTGTGCTCATGTGAAAGTTGGTTCCAGTGGCCAAAGTTACATGAACAAATTACTCTACTAACCCTTATCTCCTCACATCTTTTTTTTGACCCAATTCTCAGCTTCACTTCTAGAAGTCCTTTTTGACCTCCCTATTTGTTTTGGGACCACTTTACCTTTACTGACAGTTCTTTTCTTCGAATTCACCTATTCAATGTAGAACCTAACAATGGAAAGGCTCTAAAACCTTCCCCCCATGGAATGGGTATGTGCAGCCTCTGGCAACAAGCCACAGTTTCAGCGTTCCTTCTCACAATCCCAGCATGTGAGTCTGTAAAGGCTGAATAGGGCAACAGGGAGCTATGCACCTATTCTGTTAGATGCACAGCTCATTCTCATCTGTAAATTTCCAGCAATCTCCAGATTGCAATAGATATGTATACACACATACATCAAATCTAAATAAACTACAAATAAGAGGGAAAACACTTTACGCAAATTAAACAGAAAAGTTCTTATCTCTGGAAAGACAGTCTTCCTGCCTGTCTTCCAAGGATGTGAATTCATGTCACAGTTCAGTCAACCTAACAGTTAGCTGCCAACAAGAGAAATTAAAATAATGAAAACTAATGCTCCAGGAAAAACTAGCTCACCATGGAGTCTGAAGAGTCAGTACAACTGAAAAGAGGAGGGAAGTAGGACCATCCCCCTCAGTACACCTGACTGATTGGCTTAGCTATATCATAAAACTGCACCCTAAGACAGTGCTGTCGATAGCTCCTAAAAAGGGTCACTTGCTAGCATGGGTGTTTAGCACTTAAGATGTTGAATTGCACAAAGGCAAATTTAGCACTGCTTGCAAACTGCAAAGTTAGTTGCTGCACATCCTCCCCATACAGACAGTGCCAGTACCCTCACAGTTGACCTCAGGCCTGCTGACAATCACACGTGTCAAAGGGCACATGCCTTCTTAGCAGTTATCAGTAAGATTCCTTCATAGATTGAACAGCTCCTATTTCCCCTCCCAGAAAGTTAACTCAATCTAGCTAAAAAGAGCAGTGTAAATACCATACTCAAATACAAGTCACAGTAGACTAAGTTTAAACAGATGGAAAGATTACAAAAGCAAAAAAGACTTCAGTTCCAGAGAAAGCCCCCAAGCTAATTTAAACAAAACTGCTTTGACAAGATAAGTGTGATTGTTTATCAGAGGCAGCCCTACCCAACATTACAGAAGAGAAATTAACTCCCAGCTCACTTGCACAGTGGCTAAAGACCTTCAGGCAAGTCACTTAACTGCTTCATGATGTAGTTTTTCCCTCTAGAAGATCAATTTTACCATTTACTAACCTCACACAGGATTCCTGAGACTTACTTTAATTTATTCATGCTTTGTAAATGCTCTGAGATCCTTGGATGGAAGCTGACAAAACTGTTCAAATCACAGTCATTGAAGAGAAGCATGTGAAAGTGAGCTTGCCTCCACAAGCCCAATTAACTGGCTTAGCCTTACAATAAAATCTGTGCCTGGGATACTCACTTGGCAAACTGCATTCAAAAAGGGCTGGGATGAATTTGCTTTACAAAGTAATGCTTTAGAAATGAGGAAAAAACCAAAAAAAAGAGGGAGTTCTGATAGACTGGAGTCAAGCAATCAAAAGGCAGAACATCTGACCACCAGCTCCTTCATCTCAGTATTAAGCAACACAAACACGTACAAGGGTAATGTTTTAAGTTGCTCTTCCAGATTTCCAGATTTGTAATCAATCACATCATCCGCTCCAAGCTTTTTCATCAGTGTGCTGGCATCATGAGAACAAACTGCTGTCACGTGAGCACCCCAGGCCTTCACTAGCTAAAAACAAGTATAAAAAAAAAGAAGTCCAAAGTTTAAAATTTAGTGAAACATTGAGAACAACTTAAAAAGCCAAAATCTCATTAAATTTATATAATAAATGAGCACCTTTAGTAGGGAGTGGGGAGACTGTGTTCCAACACAGGATAACTTGTCACACAGCCCACAGACAAACAACAGTTAGAATTTATCAATATTTAAGTAGGTTTTGGGGAGGGAGGAGTTGGTGTGGAGGAAGGAGGGTGGGTTTATAATGCCACTTACAGATATCAGGTCCCAGGATAAATGAGGCTTCAAATAAAATACTCAGTTTGCCATCTGAATCTGTCAGCTAAATGTATACCAAGAGGTATTTTGCAAGTTACCAATCTACAAAACTGTCACCAGATCAACCATTAAATATTTTTAAATATTTAAAATTAAAATATTTTATATTCCTACCTGCTCATTAAGTATTTCATATATCTATCTCACTGTAAATAGCTTAAATATTAATAACGAGAAAAAGAAGGAAGTCATCTCTGATTTACCACAGGGAGTATGTCAGGATATCTTCTACTCCAAAAGCTATAGCAAAGTAAAGGATTTTTGCTAGTTATTTATCTCTTTTGTAATCTCGTTTTTCATTCACAGTAATCTTTTTTACATTTATTCCGGATTAATTAATGTAGTTTACTCAGGATTAATCAGGTAGAAATCGCAAGTAGTCAGTGGCCGGTCAGCCTTTCGTACTGATCTAATTTAGCCACCTGCTTTATCATGGATCAGGCAAATAGCATACCACTAAAAAATCTCCTGTAAGGCTCTTTAAAACCGCTATGTTTATGGTCTAGTAACATGGAACGCAGTGATGCAACCACCTAACTTCTATATTTTTTTCATATTCTCAAGAGAAAGATGTTTCAGCATGAGATGACACCGATTAGAATCAAAATCCCCAAATTAAATGAGCACATGAAAAGAGGATGTCCCACAATTAATGGATCAATAAAAGAGCATGTTGACTCTCCAAGGTTTAGAGCTACTGGAATGAAGACAGACAAAAGGGCAGCAGAGCAAAACAGTGAGGGAAAGGTAATCCAAGCCACTGTGCTTTACGTACACCGCACATAAAAGCCTGGTGCCTCTCATATCATTTGACCACCTACAACAGTTATGGAGGACGCTACATTCTCCATCAGTTTTTCTACTCATGCACCAAGTTCTTTTCATATTTCTGGAGCATAGCTGACTGAGAGAAAATGACAACAGGCTACATATTTCAAGTTTCACCAATTAGAGACTTCCTGCACCCAAACTGTGAAATGCGATCTTTACCTACCTACACTCACAACTCCTTTCTTTGAAAGCCCCTGCTTCCTACTTTAAATAATACAACGTAACAAATGGAAAGCAATAAATCTGAAAATATTTCACTTTCGGAAATATCGATCAGATTGATCAGACAGATCGATCAGTAGCTTGCTATTTCACTATTCCTTCCCTCAATTCCCTTCCGTTAATTTTTTTTTTCATATTGAATAGTTTCAAGATGCATCCTGGGTGTGCTGATTTATATTACCTGTACAGCAAATGTACCAACTCCTCCTGAAGCTCCTAATATTAATACTCTGTAAAAGAAAATTAAAATATATTAAATAGTTCTTTAATAAAGTCTATAGTAACTATGTATTCTAATGCTTCTCATACATCTCTGACACCAAATTATTTTAAGCAAAAGATTGTATTTGTCATTCAATGTTACTTAGTGGTTAACTCTTCAGACAGCAGCAATGTGACTTAACATTGCTGACCATGTTTCCTGCGCCAAGAGCATTATCTCAGCACAGCCAAAGAGAGTCCCTCATATGTGCTTTCCACTAAAACCAGGCAGTGGAGCTGTCAGGCAGTAACATTTATCATGCAAAAGCCCTGTCCCTGTCCTCACTTTCCTAAACATAATTGCTTAGTTTGGGACAAAATCAGTTAAGAACCTTTCTGTCTCCCAGACTCCACTGTTGTATCTCCTAAAGAAAAAAATCTGATTCACAAATTGGTGTTACCTAAGAGAAAAAGTGGTTTAGCATCACATTATTTAGGGAGACTGGGAACTTCAGAATATATGGAACATAATTTTCCCATATTGCATAATATTTGTCTAAAAGAAAGACAAAAATCCAATGAAGTAGCCTGACCATAAACAAGTTTAAGTTCTATTAACTTATGTGCCTTTTTCTTTAGAAAAAGGGCAGTAGAAATTTTCTAGTTCAGTACATCTCAACAAGACCCTGTAAATGCCAGGTTGTGGAAACTGGCACACAAGCAAGAAAATGAAAGAGTACATTACCAAATTACTAGCAAGTGAGAGTTCATTTTAACTGAACACACTACCCTAAATTTCATAAAAATGAATGCAAGTTTAGTGGTGCGAGAACTTTACTGCTAGCAGCCTAATCACTGCTCAAAAATTTCATACGGATATTTTATTAAATAACTAAACTTCAGAAAGGGAATTAGTAAGAAAGCCTTGCTGCAGAAGCTACAAACAGTGCTTGGACTTTGGACCCATTTGCTAATTCTAGGACAAAAGGAATATCCAAGATGAAGTCTTGGCATGGGACCGAGGAACATCATGTTTCTCAGAGCTTCTGTTTGCCAGAAAAATTTTCAGTATCTCCAGAAGCTGGTGGTGTTCCCATTTTAAATCTCACTGTGCTAGATGTTTGCTTTTTACACTGCAAAATTGTACTATACAATCTGGAGTCTCAGTTTACAAAAATCCTTTTTAGTAACCTAAGAGACTTGGCTTTGGTCACAGTATCCATTTTAAAATGTTTCCTCTTTTGTAACTGATCAGATTCTATTCCCTCCTATTTCTCCGATCCAAGCTGCAAAATTCAGATTACGAATTTGAAACCACAATGCCTGCAGCTTTTAAATCTGCCAAAAAGTACTTATCCTCAGAACCATGCTTCTAATGACAGATGCCTGAAGCAACATTCATATTTAGATTTTACTATACTTGAAAAGGCTCAGGGATGCTACACACAAGATACTCGGTTTAGCCCATCTTTACCCTTACAAAGGACAGTCACAATTAAATCCTTTCAAAAAAACCTCATCAAACTGCCTTTCCAATTTTACTCCTTGCTTAAAGGGCATCTCTTCTACTACAAACTTTGGAGAAAGCTGGCATTTTAAAATGTACATTTTGCTCAAGGATTTAGGTAACATTTTCAGTTTTGGGGAGCTGCTTGGCTAGGACTTTATTTTCCCCTTCAATAAAAGCCCTTGAGATTCTTCAGGTAGAAATACTTTCCCAATTTGGTTACTGAAGGACCACAGACGGTGGAAAGTGCCAAAGCAGGCACAGCTTTGTTTGCATTGCCTAGGGAAAACACAGCCAGGAGAAAACATACCAGAGAAACTACCTGTTTCACTGCAAAGGTGAGCTCAGGAGTAAACTAACACATAAGCATGTGCACAAGGGAACAAACTAACGAATTATTTGACCTGAACAGAGATCCAAGAGGACCAATTCTCTGAAAAGAACAAACCACACGTTCATACCCCAGGCTTTGCTCCCTTCTGACAGAGGCACGTAATTCAAGCCAGTATTTAGCAAGCCCCATATGAGGCTCGAGCAGTTCAAATGATCAGAGTCAGCAGACCTCTCCATGGGATTTCAGAGTTTAGCCCTTCTCCCTAGGCCCTGCTTGGAACTACGGTGTGGTCAAAAACTAGCATCAGAGAGCCAGGACCTGTTTCAGCTGTGTCCCCTCCGCCAGAAGACACAGGGGGTAGGGAGTGGTACAGATCAAGGACTAACATTTTCTCCAGATTATAAACAACTAACAATTTTCAGTGACTCAGATACATGCCAAATAAAAAATATTTATTGAATAAATATATCAATTTTATATATATATAAAAAACTAAACTCCATTTGATTATGCCAACAAAATGTCCCTACGAGATTCATTCCTGTATCAAGAAGCATTTACCCTATCAAGAAGTTTTACAACCTACACTCACTTCGTACTTCTCAACAGATAAAATGATGAAATAACACACAGACTTTGAAAAAAATATTTTCTTGGGTTATTCTATCATTCAAATGTTCATTGTAACAATATAAACCAGGAGTGTACATTTAATAGCTTACAGTAGCAGAATCCAGCGTCTCTCCCCAGCATACTTAAATGTATAAAATATTGACTCTGTATTTATGTAAAAGACTTTCACTTAATATTAACGTAAATGTTTTCAAGAACTTCTCAGATTGTCAGGTTTGTTTTTATCATGCTTTTTGTGAATACAGCAAGCAAGATATTTAACAGCTACTGTTGAACAAGCATATCCCCTTTCTACTGAAACAGGACACCAGCACATATGAGAAGCTCTCCAGGTATTATCCACAGAGAACTTCAAAACAATAAAGTCATTCTGAACATTTTGGACAACAAGAACACATTTAGCTTGTGCAAGAATACTGACATAAGTTACAGTGGTATAGGATAAAAGTTATGGAGAAATTACTGGAGTTATAGTGAAGCAGGGGACATCACGAACAGTATGAGCACACTTCAGGTAACTTGTAAAAACAAAATTTGTGAAAGTGTGTGCAGAGGCAGCAGATACTCCTGTCAGATCAACATACAGTCAGATGTTGGACTGTCAGCAAGTATTTGATTAGCCCACCCTTCCACCTTAAAGAGGCAAAGAAAACAATACACACCAATAGAAAAATCTCGCTGTTTCTAAGGTGTCTTAACACTGCAATAAAGTATCAGTGAAGTAGCTTTCATCAAGGAATACAGCTGCTCTTTCAAAATAAGACACACTCTGGTGTGTATATACACCCTTCTACATAGCTATTTACATATACCTACAGGAGACAAAAAGACCAACATAAAATCACATGCGTAAGTAACTTCTTACCAAACATTAAATTATTTCAAGAAATTAAGAAACATTATGTAAATTCTTGTCTTTTGAAATTATGGCCTTGCGAGAGTAATGTAAAGTTCATGGAATATATTTTTGCACAGCCCCTTCAATGCATTTTATGTATTTTCCTACAAGAAATTTTTCAGGGGAAAAAAGCTACCATCACGTAAGTCATTCTCTGCTGTTTTTACAATTCAAAACTTCTAGATGGGAAACATCATAATTTTGTAAGTATATGTCCTGGTTTCGGCTGGGATAGACAGTACATTACAATGTTTTTTGCTGACAGAGTAATTAAATATTTACTGGGAACATAAAAGTAAATGTTTAATGTAAAGACACGATATAAATGCGGTTTGAATTTCACTTTTAACAATCTAAACACTTACCTGAAGATTGGAAAGATACTTTAAACAAGGCTAGCCTATCAACATATCTTTAAGTTAATTCCACTTACATGTGAAAGTTAAGATAATAAAAAAGTCTAAATACTGAAAAATAAAAAGGAAGGCAACGTATGTAGAATTTTATCACTAGCTGGAAGTTAATTTCAATGAAGTCTCTTTGAAATTGCTTTAAATTTTGCAATTTCATTTTCTCAAAACATTGTTTATCGTTAGAACAAACAATTACTTGATATTTTCATGATGACATTTACCGTGCCATATGAACAACGACTCAATCAATTATCTTCTAAAGATGTGGGTGAAGAATTTCAATAAATCTAATGTCCTTTGCAATGTGTTGCATTACAACAGTTAACACCCAAGATAAGAGGAGGTCAAGCATCTAGAGTCCTACCGCCCAATAATTACTTTATGACCTACATTTTTGGTGCAGCACAGTAATTTTAATGATTCTTTTTCAATTCCAGTATTTTTACTTTTGCCCTTCTTTCCATTCTGAACATTTTGCTATCTATTTACACAAACATCCAAAGGCCAACGTAACTGCAAATTTCAATTATCAGGAGAAAAATAGTATCTGCTCCAATCTTTCAATGCATTTGTCCTCTTCTGTCCTCCATCTGCCATTGTCAGATTAACAGGCTGATAAACAAAGCCAATTTTTCTATTTCATTTGGCTGCTCGTCCTGCACGTTTTCCTCTTCTCTTCTGCATGCCTGACCTCATCAAAGTTCTAGCCTACAGGTCAAATGAGACCCAGTCACCTGCTCATTTTTTCCTAAAAAGCTGGAAAACCAGTCTGTTCCAAATGGCCCACGCATGCAGGAACTGAGTGAACCACACCTATGTGGTTGAGGGGGCTTTTTGTGAGTTGCCAAAATAACTCAGAGAGAGGATATTACATTTGGATAGCTGTCCTAGCAGGCAGAAAGGCAAAGTCCCTATGGATTCCTAGAAATACCATCTTCAAATTCTCTACATAGTCCTACACATTAGATATACAATGGACTACCTCTATATAGTCACTATACAGAGGAAGCAAGTGGCAAGTGACCAGGTACACTTCAGTTAGGGTCCTCATCTGAGTCTCCCTCTAAAGAAGCCTCTCTCTCAGCAGTTGTGTAGACTGAACCTAGCATCTTCAGGCCAGCTGGTCTTTGTGAATGTCATGGTATAAGAGTCTTCATTACTGTTGGACAAGTCTTAGAAGCAGCTAATCAGTATAAAAATGAAACACTAAGTTTTAGCACCAGAACTATTTACTTACCTTTTCCCACTACAATTACTTCGGTTCAGTCCTCCAACTTGGTTAACTGCAGACCAGGCTGTGAGACCTACATATGGTAAGGAGGCAGCTTCTGTGTGACTGAGACACTTTGGCTTAAAAGACACCTGAAATAAATCAATCGTATCTAAGTCACACAGCAGATCCTACGTGACACTGAAATACTTAAACAAGCTTTACTGAATTGCAGATTGTGTATTCCACATTTTCAACTATCTTCATAATTAGCTGGAGTCTAAATCAATCCAAGCACCAAGAAATGGACAGTTACTTAGCCACCAAAGAAAAAAAAAAATGCCAGTCTTTACAATTTGGGGGTTTTGTCTGTTGGCCACATTTTTGAAGGTTTACCTCGTTTCCACTAGCTACCACAAACTCTGACAGAGTACCCTGTTTCCACGGAGGAATTGCTGCCCACACCTAAAACCAAACAGAAAACAACCATCAATTTTTGTGACTTTGCACATGATTGTACCTACACAGCAGTTTTCTTCATTAAAGAAATCTTTTTTCCAATTTGCAGAATGTCTTCACTGTTTCTTATCAGAAACCAGTTTAGCTTACTCTTTACACAAAAAAAAAAATCACAAGACTGACTAAATTAAGGACTGCAGAGCTATGTAAATAGATTGTACCATACTGTGCATGAGACATAATTTTCCAAAAAACGCAAACTACTTCCATGCCAGGAAAGCCCAGACTGGAGGGGATGGGGCAGGGAGGAATCAGAATTTGCTATACTAAAACTGCTGAAATGTGAACAACTGGTGAAGATGAAAGCAAACAATACCAGTATTTATGTGGGGACTCACGAAGTCGTTCTTGCGTTATGCCAGAGTTCCTATCCTAAGTAAGTTACTCAAGAAAAAAACCAACTAATCCTTTCCTATTAGAATTCTATCTTCAGTCAAAAATGAAGCAGCGTCTTGAGTGTGCACTTATAAATAAATATAATTCTTCTCATTACCACTGAAATGGACCAAAAATTAAAAAACAGAAGGGAAATTAACTTGCAGAAGCAAGTCTGCGAAAGACCATGTTTTTCAGAGGAAAAAAAGTAGGGAAGAAAGCATTCTAGGAATTTACTGCTAGATAGTCCTCATTCAGAGTGCAACAACATAAAAAAAAATTTCCTAAGTGGAAGAAGAAAGCTGAACATCTCATAGTATATTTTATATTTTAACTATACATTTTAGAAAAAGAGAGATTGGTGGTGTCACCTCATCTCCAGGTTTGAAATAAGACACACTCAGTCCACATTCCATAACAACACCAGAGACATCTCGACCAAGTGTTAGTGGAAATTCAGCGTCCGCGCTTTTGAGTTTCAGTGGATCCCGCTTCATATTTAATGCAGTTGCACCATAACCACCTGCAAAATATGAAATTAACCATGACATACTGTACTGAGTTTTCATTTATTAACTGAACAATTCCAGTTAGAAAGGACTGTCTGTACCTAACGTGTCTCATTTCTGTTGTAACTTCAGCATGCAAAAAAACTGCAATATTTTATACTTTTACAGATTTTACAAAAAAAGAGCAAATCTCAGTTCTGGCTTTTTTTGCCCATGAAATGGCCCTCCGTTATAAAAATATTTACTATGTGATAACACTGCCAGAAATTCTAAGAAGTCTGCTAGAAACGCTCCATTTTCCAACAGTGTCATGTAGCTAGGAATCCAAAAGAACTCCAAGCTTTCCATTTGCCTTTTCAAATTAAGTACTGTAAACAAAGCACTATGAAAATAATTGTAAAAATTACTAAGGCACATATCCTAAGATGAGTAACCTGAACTTCTGTTCAGTAAGCAATAGCTAAATGCTGCGAATTACCCATCTAGTAACTCTGCTCAGCCTAAAAAAGTCTGCATTCGGGCATGTATGCCCTTTCAAGTGTTTGGAGAAGTCTGCCTAGGTACCCCATTATGCTAGAAAGTGGTTTTATACTGAAAAGAAAAGAAACAGACACAAAAACAGGCACCTTGAAAGCAGGATGAAAATGTAGTTTCTTCGACATACTTTTATACTGACTCAAAATACTAGTAGCAGCCTTGCAGTTCAAGTGGGTCACTCAACTGGAATCCTCAGAGAGCAAATGTCCCATAATCAAACTTACAATTATATACAAAGATTTTTTTAAATTAATTTATCAGAGACCCAAGACACACATTACAGCTCTGTCGGTAGGCTTCCTGCAGGTATCTCTGCATGCACTCCTGAATCTGATTTGATATGCAAATCACTTCTCAACATGAAATACAAGGTCTTCTACTACTGCAACTTCCTTCTTGTATTTCGAACCTTGAAATCGAGGAAAAATCTGATTAAATGGGTCAAATACAAAGAGTTAGTCAGTCAAAGATGTAGATTTATTGGGCCAGCAGGTACTCAGATGCCAATTCAGAAGGGGCACGACAACGAACAAGATGGTTTGGATTAGCTCGCACGTGCTGACTTCGCAGTAACTTTGACCTTCAGCCCCGTTCACCTCAAAGAGATGGGAAAATCCAGTACCTCTCAGGGGGAATGCTGCTTCTTGGGAGGACTAGTCTCTTGATCAAGAGAGTGCCAACACCCAGATGGTGGGGACAGGGGAGAAGGCCAGGAAAAAAAACCCCACCGTGGTTATGCTACTAACAAAAGGAAGCTGACTTGTGAGTTGCATGCCTGCAGAAGACAGCAATTAGTCACTTAGATTAAAAGCTTACCCCCCCCAACACACACACTCTTGTCTTCAGAAAAGCAATGGCTTTTTGTATCGTTCTTCCTAAGAACTTGAAAAAAATAAGTTTCAAAGAGGCGGGGGGGGGGCTGGGCGGGGGCGGCACCCGCTTCGTGGGGGGCGTTTTACACTGCCGCGCGAGACAGGTGACTACCAGGGCAGACCGGTGACAACGTCTGTAGGATTTTGGACGCCGGGGGACGTGCGGAAGCCTCAATCGAAGCACACCCCCTACCATCACGCCAGCCTGGCCCCGGCCGCTCGGGCCCGGCACTTACTTCTCATGCTGAGGTCGATGGGGTTCAGGCTCGCGGCATGAACTTTAATGATGACCTCGTTCGGGAAGTGTATGATGGGGAACACCATGTCCCTGGTGAAGCGCAGCACGTCGTTGCGGCCGTACCGGTCTATGACCCAGGAAGGCATGGCGGACCGCGCCCGCGGAGAGGCGCGGAGGCCGCGGACCGGCGGCTG